GCAGCCTCGACCTGCTGGGCTCAGGTGATCCTTCCGCCTCAGCCTTCCAAGTAGCTGGAAACACAGGTAAGCGCCACCATGCCCAGCTAATCTATTGATTTCTTGAAGAGACGAGGTCTCACCAAGTTGCCTAGACTGGTCTGGAACCCCTGGACTCAGGCAATCCTCTTGCCTCAGCCTCCCAAAGTGCTGGGATTATAGGCTTGAGCCACTTCTAACGGCATAGATTTGTTTTCTCTATTTTTGTACTTTACATAAATAAGATCATAAGGATGTGCTCTTTTTCCGTTTCACCTCTTGCTCGCAACACTGTCTCTGTGAGATTCATTCATATTGCTGCATGTAGTTGTAGACCATTCATTCTCACTGCTGTAAGCATTCCACTGGGTGAATACACTAGGCTAATGTTCATGGACATCTGGGTAGTCTGCAGTTGGGATTACATGTCTTTTGGTGAACATGTGTATGTCTTTCTGTTGGCAACTCAGTATTATTAACTTATTTATTTGTGCATTGGCTGTCAGGTAAGCAGCATGAGGCAGAGATTTTCCTTTTATGCTGGGCAGGCGAGACCTCATCTCTACAATAAATCAAAAAAATTAGCCAGGTGTGGTAGCGCGCCTGTAGTTCCAGCTACTTGGAAGGCTGAGGCGGAAGGATCGCCAGAGCCCAGCAGGTCGAGGCTGCGGTGGCCGGGAGCGGCCACTGCACTCCAGTCTGGGCGACAGAGTGAGATTCCAATTCAAAACAAACAAACAAACAAACAAACAAACAAAACTACTATGTTCCCTGTGCTGAAAACGTTTGGCACATAATAGGTGTTTAATAAGCATTTGTTGAATGAATAAATGAAATTCTTTTTCCTTCTTTTTTCATGGATCAGAATAGTAACGAACCAATCCTTCTCTCTCTTTAAAGAATAAGAAGTTTAGTTCTGTATTTTATCTTAAATACTCAATATATAATCCCTACAAAGATATTAAGAATTCACTGTAGGAAAACTTCACATAGACTTCTGCCTCAGGAGAGTTGCATAAAACTACTCACCATCTGGTAGATACATAATCAGTATATGGTGGCTGTGACCTTAATTCTCTTGCAAGTCCAAAATCAGCTATTTTCACAAGTTCTGGACCCATACAAAGCAAATTTTCTGGTTTCATGTCTCTATGAAAAAAACCTTGGTAACATAGAGAGAGAGAAAAAATAATAAACCATCCTGTTTAAACATAGCGTTATTTAACTTATAAACAAAAATGACTGAGCCTCTCTATCATAATTAGAAAGAAGATCTTAGGAGAAAAATAAATCATGTTTATTGTCTAAGAAGTGATGGAGTATGGGGACCCTGCTTTCAAAATGACTTGGCAAGAAAGTTCGCACTGTATAGAAGATCATGAAAACTACTCATTTAACATGTATTTTTGTGCTTCCAGGAGGTTCAGACACCGGGCAAGACACTGTCACATAATGATTATCTCCATTCATTTGCACAATCACCTGGAAGAGATATTGTTATCACTATTGTGCAATAGAGGAGGAGGTTGGGGCCCAGAGAGAAGTGGCCTAATTAGTGTGTGGGGCATACACCTCATCAGGGCTCAGTCAGTGCAGCTCAATCCTTGAATACACTAACTTGTTTGAAAAGTCCACGAGACAAAGATGGCACTCCACACACTACAATTTCTTCCTTTAAAATTACCGTACCTAATGCTCAGTTCTCCCTGATAGCTATGTCATTCAAAATCCAATAATTATAATATTTAGATTACTCATTCAATATATAAAATAAATGGTTAGTTACCAAAGCTCGGGGGCAGCCCAAAGAAAATGAGGCAGAAAACCCAGGGGGACAAAACAACAACATTAAATCAGATTTGTCTGTCAGGGAATCATTTTCTAAGGTGACTTAAAGATACTGGTTGTACACAGATGGCTTGGATTTGAATGGCCTCGTGAAGCAGGGTACCTAGCGGGGATCATTAGAAGAGGGTTTTCTTGTTGCTTTGGGGCTAGGAAGACTTTCTGAGGCTAAATGTTTTTGATCACTTCAAAGCCAGTGTCTACATTTGTGACATCTGTAACGGCTTTGTATTCTGAGGTTATCTTACTCAGAATAGCTGGTACAATCCATTTCAGTAAATATTCAAGAGAAATCCATTGAACTTTTGTAATGTAATGACAGAAATGGGAATGTGTGTGATGGTAAAGCAAAGTGACAGTAATACATAAAATCTTAGAGAACTAAACCAATTACTTATTTGTACAGTTGAGGATTTTCCCATCATAATATAAATATATTGGTAATTTAGTCCTATTTTAATTACATATTAATGTAATTTTTTTTTGACAGCAACCATTTAAAAATATTCTTTTTCTTGAAGTATTACATATTAGATGCCTAACTACAGCAAGAATAATTTGGCTTTTGTAAAAATGTCTAATTGTTCTTAGAGCCTGGTTTCCTAAATCACTATACAGTCAACTACACAGCCAATTTTAGATTATTCACATGTCAATTAATTTCAGCCACAATTTTTAAATCCTAAACTAACTTCCTCCTTCAACCTCTTAGGCTTTGGAAGTTGATGAGAGCATAAATCAGCCAAGACAACTATTAGGTTGTTACCATGCTGATCAGAGTTTAAAACAAATTGAAGATCAGGAATCCATTATGAATCATTTAAATAGCATATAATCCTTTATTTCCGTATAATTAGTAAGTTACTGATCTTTACCAATGGATTGTAGTAGTTTATGATGTATTCAGACTTTTTACGCATCCCAATAGTTTATATGAAACAAATAAAAAATAAAGGATTCAGAAATGCTCTTAAAGTACTTATAAGAAATCCTACACAGTATTTTTAGAAGATAAATTATTTCCTGTAGCAGTTAAAGGAAAAAAGAAACTAATGGCAACTTTTGAGTGCCTATGTTCGGAACACTACAATAGTGTGGCACAAATGTTTCTAAACAGATAGTGATTCTAAACAAATGTTCATTAAAAATATTTTTTGGACTAAAATTATTTTGGTTTGCTAGATATGTAAAAACTACACAATATAAAATAAATAAATAGGAAAGTAATAGAAAATGGAACAAGCACTTGCTTTAATTTCTCTCAGAGAATAGAAACAACTAAATGCAAATACTAAGGAAAACTATAAAACACCACACCATGAGTGCTTTAAATTAAATGCTAATCAATGGTCATGCTAAATCAAAGCAGTCTAATCTTTTCCAAAAGAGGCTCTTTTAAAATTCATTTACATGATGGAATTAGGGAGAATGAGGCTATAGGACAGGTTTATAAATGGCTCCGACTAAAAGCTGATGATCAAACTGTTAAAAACGTCTGCTATGGAGGAAGATAGTTAGTTATAGACGATAGAAATTCCATTTTATACAGAATTACAAACATTCTAAACTTTTTTTTTTTTTTTTGAGTCGGAGTCTCACTCTCGCCCAGACTGGAGTGCAGCGGCCGCTCCCGGCCGCCGCAGCCTCGACCCGCCGGGCTCCGGCGATCCTCCCGCCTCAGCCTTCCCAGTAGCCGGAACTACAGGCGCGCGCTACCACGCCCGGCTCATTTTTGATTTATTGTAGAGATGAGGTCTCGCCTAAAAAAAAAAAATGTCAGCGTATGTAGGCACATATTCCAAACTTGTAGTTATCCAATGTAACAGTAACAGTTCATACACAATTTCAGTGCAGTTTGACAGTAACCTAAAGAGGTAGGGAAATGAAACTTAAAAGAAACCTACCATGTTTATGGATAAAAGCCAGCCCTTGCAATATTTGATACATAATATTTCTGATGACTGACTCAGGGAACAACTTGTTTCTGTGAAGAAATGAACCAGCAGTCACATAATTCTGTTAAGCAAGCTACCAACCAATCAAAAGAAAGCGTATACATTCCTCCTGCCTCAGTGCCTCTGTTGGTCTCATAATACTGGTTAAAGGTATGATTTATAGGTGTATAGTGTTAAAGGTCATACATTTAAAACATAGAAATTAGGTGTGTGTGTGTGTTTGGTTTTGATGCTTGGTAAACTCAAATCCAAAACTGAATATATTACACAAATATTAAATAGCTAAATTCTAAAGTGTCCCAAGAGGAACAGAGTAAACTGGAAAACTGAATCATTATCAGATTAGCCAAGTGTGCAAATCTGTATTATGTAGGCTTTAAGAGTTTTATGGGCATAAATGCTTCCATTCCATTCAGTATATTGGTGTTATCCAATGGAAATATAAGAGCCACAAATGGGAGCGAGCCACTAACATTTTTCTAGAAGTCACATTTATAAAAAGCAATTGAAACAGGTGAAATTAAGTTTTAATACTAATTTCATTTAACCTAATATATACCACATATTATTTCAACATGCAATCAATGTCAACATTAACACATTTCTTTTTTGTACTAAGTTTTCAAAATCTGGTACATAATTTACATTTATGACACAGTTCAATACAGACATTTCAAGAACTCAATAGCCACATTTGACTAATGGCTACTGTACTGGACAGCGCAGATTTATGTGGTTTTCATATAGGGTCTAAATAAGATCCTATTAAAGGCTAAATGAAAGCTGAAAAATATTAATCTCTGCCAGGCACCAAATAAAGTGACCAACAGCTAATTCTTTGAACCTGAAGCCATGCTGTGTTTCAGAAGTTATCATCTTAAGGTTTTAAACTTTATAATAATTTCAACATTTTCTAACATCTTTATTTAAACATGATTGATTAATTTAAAGGATCAATTCAAAATGCTTTTAATACACAGAAAATGGCCTATTTTCCCCACAATATATTGTTAACTATATTGTATGCTTATATTATGTTCTAAAATGTCCCACCATTTAAATCATCAGGCTACCAAATGGACCAGAAATACACAACACACAGAAAAACTCACTTTCATAAATTATAAATTAAATTTTAAATAAACAAAATAGCTTAATGTTTGTCAATGACATAACTTTATGAAAAGAATGCTATATGCTGAAGTTAAAGTTATAGTAACTAGTGCAAAGGTTTATGTATATTGCTCTTCAATTAAAATAGAACAACAGCTTACTTGAATAAAGGACTTTTAAGTAAATTTTTATCTTTAAAACAATGTTTCAGGAAGTTAAACTACTCAAAATAAAATGTACAAATATAACATCCTCAAATAGCCTTCATCACTTACAATTGTTAATGGCCAAATTTATTTATTTAACACTAAATAAGATTCTAACAATATTACTTTTATTTCCATTTAATTTAGAAATCTAGAATAGAATCATAACATTCAAAACTTGATTCTTTATAGTGTTCACTTGCTATTTCATTAACCACTTCAACTGGTAGACTTATATATACTTTCAAAAGCAGATGAAAAAATATATACATATTTATTTTTTTAGAGTCTCACTCCATCCCCAGGCTGGAGTGCAGTGGCACACTCACCACAGCATTGACCTGCTAGGCTCTGGCGATCCTTCTGTCTCAATCTTCAAAGTAGCCAGAACTACAGGTGCATGCTACTACACCTGGCTAATTTCTATTATTATTATTTATTGTAGAGATGAGGGCTTGCCAAGTTGCCCAGGCTGATCTTGAACCTGTGGGCTCAGGCAATCCACTCACCTCAGCCTCCCAAAGTGCTGGGATTACAGGCTGAGCCACTGAGCCCTGCTATATTTCAAATTTTTCTTCAGTATATCTTGATATCACATGTATATATTATCATTTCATATTATTTTAAAGTACAAAAATTATTAGAAGTCAAAAGTTAAGATTATCCATAATTCTACCACCTGATTGAGAAATTTTTGATTTTTCAGTATTCTAATCCAGCCCTAATCTATTTGCATGCATAACATTTGTATTAGATATCAATGTTACATAAATACAATTTTGATTTGTGCTTTCCACTAAGTATTTTCATAATCCTTTTATTTTTCACTTCTAAGGGCTGAAGTCCATCAATATTATATACTATCATTACCAACCTTTTCTCCCACTGATATTTATTTTAAATAGTTCAAAGAGATCAATGAAACCTAGCATAGTCATTTAACAAAATATAATATCTATGGTAACTATATAGACTATCAGCATTAAAATTACTTGTAAGTGAATGAATCAAATAAAAAATTTTATCATCACTAAAATTACAACTAAGTAAAAATCATCTATGCCTATATGCAAAAGCTAGAAAAAACTCTAGAAAAATTTAAAAAATGAATTTGAGGGATAGATATTTACTTTTATTTTAACTGGTAGTAATGTTAAAATGCTGTCAGCCTGGAACACAACAGACATTCAAAAAATATGTTTGAAAGAAGAAAAAATAAAATTAAAGAAAAATTCACTTCCCATCCTTAGACCCTGAGTGAGTGTGAGTGTGAGTGTGAGTGTGTGTGTGTGTGTGTGTGTGTGTGTGAAAATAGAAATCAAAACCATTACGTTGGAAAAGTACTCTATTTCTAAACATTTTATAGTCTTTTATTGAACAACTCTGGGCTTTAAAAGCAGGCAAAAGGACTTTAATCTCCCAGATGTGACCAAAACAATAATCACCAGAACATTATCTCCCCAAGTCCATAGTGGAAGACTGAAGTTCTCCCTTCAGAGATTCTGTCCATAGGTTTAAAAATTAAAATTAGAATTTGCTTGGGATTGGTAACACACTAAGTTTTATCACTCACTTGGGCATTTTAATAGAGGAGTTTCTTAGATCCTTTCTTTAAAATTGCTTTATTCCTTTCTCCATTCCTTAATTAACTGTTCACAAGAAGCTTGGGAAAGCAATGAAGAAAATGTTCTCAATACTGCCCAAGGCCAGCTGTATAACTGAGTACTAAACTATAGACAGATTTTTATTTAAGAAGTATAAATAGATAGTATGTGCGTTTATATAAAATATTGACTTTGGCTTTTAAGCATTTACAACAGAGAAATGGTGGCTGTGTCACAGCGGGTTCTTCTTCAATGTTAAATGCTATCCTTAGATAAAGATAACAAAATAGTTAATTTAAATCTACACTTAGAGTGAGATAAGTCTATATATCATAAAGTATGACATATTGGAAGGATTCAAATAGCTTAGGAAATAATGGGGGAAAATGACAGTTTCCATAGAATAACGACATACCTGTCTTTCATTAATTGATAGAGGTTTTCTTTCATATATTCAAATACAAAATAAAGATGGTCATTTTCTCTGATAACTTCTTTCAGTTTAATAACATTGGCATGATTAAGTTTCTTCAGAGACTGCAAAACAGCAAAGAAGCACTAAAATTTCTTTTAAAAAAAGTTATAGAAGTTGCCCAAATCTCATCATGCTAAGTATGATAACTACCTTAAGCAATTTTCCATTTACTCTGGATTCAGTAATGAATCTCATTTTAATATCTATATAATTGTTTTAAGTAATAAATTTTAAGTGCAAAAATAAACCAAATCAACAATAGCTATAAAGCAATTCAGTCACATTTTACTCTTGGTCTAATAAATAGGTCCAACTTTTATCTAACTTAATCATGTGAAATTCCATAGAAAGGTCTCCAAAAACTTACCCAAGTCTTTAAGCATAAAATCTAGATTGTTTTTCTTTTGATAACATGACTTAAAATGCTCTTTTAAAAGTGAGGTTAGGCAGGATGTGGTGGCTCAAGCGTATAATCCCAGCACTTTGGGAAGCTGAGTTGAGAGGACTGGCAGGCTTGAGACCAGCCTGGGCAACTTGGTGAGACCTCATCTCTACAATAAATCAAAAAATTAGCTGGGAATGGTGGTGCATGCCTGTAGTTCCTTCAACTTGGAAGGTTGAAGTGGAAGGATCACCTGAACCCAGCAGGTAGAGGCTGCGGTGGCTGTGAGCATGCCACTGCACTCTAGCCTAGGAGACAGAGTGAGACTCCAACTTAAAAGAAAAAAAAAAGTGAGAGTAAACTCTCAAATATGAGAATGCAAAATATCCTGTTCTCTAATGACATTAGAACAAATGAGAAATTAATTTAGGAAGATGAGTGCAAAACATAAACACAATTATTTTTGGAATGCTTCCCAGAGAATAGAACAATTTTTAGTTATTGTCCTCAGTCACAAGATAGAGTTAAGGTCTTCTCAGGTCTTTTCGTCTTTAGAATTTTACCTTAACTTCTCTCAAGTTCATGCATTCATCCCAAGAGTAGAACTTCCTCTTCATCCTAAAATAAACAAATAAAAGTTTAGAGCTAGTGACTGAAGATTCAAAGATTCTTACTCTGATATTGGTTCACTTTGGGAAGGCTATATTTCCCTTTCCTCCTCTTTATAAGAAAATCATCTTCCTTCTATATATTTTAAGGCTGCTTGGTAAAGGCTCATGCCTATGTTGTATCTGAAATTATACTTTATCACAAAGGTGAAAGAATTACCATTAGTCTTCCTTTTGGGGTGAGTTCTTAACATTCTAATCAGTTTAATTGTACTTTTCTAAAAGGGACTCTTCCAAATGTCCTCTCTTTCTGAATTTTAAGAGATAAATATGAAACATTAGACTTCAAAGGGGGGTAAAGAAACAAATCACAATTTTTGGTAACAAATTTAGTCAGTGATTTGATCTGACAGCTTTTATATCATTACCTCAGCTTTAGACAAGACCCATAAAGTTAAGTGATTTAAGTCAGCAAAACTTCAGAAGTAACTAACTTTAGAAATAGCTTTTCTGAATTTTGTTCTTTATATCTCTTTCATCCCAACATTGGTTACTATTAGAGATAAATATATGCAAAAAATTTGGCACATATACACGTTGGAATACTACGCAGCCATAAAAAAGAACAAAATCATGAATTTTGCAGCAATCTGGATGGAACTAGAGTCTATAATACTGAGTGATCTCTCACAGAAACAAAGATCTGAATATCACATGTTCTCACTCATATAGTGGACCTTGAACATCTACCATAATACTATAAAAAAAGGACTGACAGTGGTGGGAAACTATGGGGTGGGGTAGGGAGGGGAAGGGAGGTGGGACTAATGGTAGTCAGTATCCGTGGGATGGGGAGACATCCCTTATTAACAAGGGTGACTGAACGATGCACATTTGTATACCTAACCCTTAACTGTACCCCATAATTTAACAATAAAAAATATGTTTTTTTTAAAAAAAGAGATAAATATATGCAAAGCATATTTAGAGCAAAAAGTATTTCCACTATATATACCACAGAGTTTGTGCTTTTATATGAATAAATTTTTTACCACCCAAAATAGGAGATAAGAAAAAACAAAAATTCATATTCTAAAAAAATATTTCTTCAGGTACAGAAATTACAGGGCTGGACTGTGAAAAATAATGAAACACATGCTACTGTTTCCATTTAGTATTACAATCTCCTGTTGTGATGTTCTAGATAATCTTCAGGAAGTTTCGAGTTGCCTTTATTAATTAGAATAATTAATTATTCTATGAAAAGCCTCTATGAAGACATAATACACAGATAAGGAAACAAGTAAAAATTGGCAGCACAACACCAAATGTAGGCTGTAGAATTGCATTGCTGGACACAAATCCTTGCTCAGATGATCACTGACTGCCATGACCGTGAACAAGTTACCTAAAGACCTATGTCTTAGTTACCAATAAAGTAGAAATTACTGCATAAGAAAAGCTTATTGCAAACTGCTTTGTTCAGTACTCAATAAGTAGTAGATGTTTTTATTTTTACCAATATCTTGTATTGACTACAATAAGACATGAAGGGTATCACTGCTATTATTTCTAATATATCCTCAATGATCGGAATTCATTTATGTCACTCATGTACTAGGCATTTATGAAGAAGCTTGAGGAAATTGAGAGTTTACTGGCTTAGTAAAATATACTTTTCAGTGTTATAGATTTATAAAATGTCTTGCTAAAATGCAAAAGGTATACCAAGCACAATAATGAATTTAAAATAAAACAGAAGCCAATTCAAGTACAGCTATAAATGAAAAATACTTTAATAAAATAATCATATCCATCCAAAACTGCACATATAATCTGCTAGGGATTCTTAAATAAGCAATTTTAGAATTTAAAAAGTATCCAATCTTTTAGAAGACAGACAAAATATATTTAAGTTACTTTTCACAATTCATTAATAATTGAAACCTTTACTTATAAAATCTGTACTCTTTTCATTCATAGTTACTAATATTCTACTTTCTTTCTAATAATTACCACTTCTCAGTAATACGTCCTGAAGGTGCCCATGTATCTGTCTACAACAAATACAGAAGATTCCTTGCGAAATAATTATTCCAAAGACAAACCAATTCCTTAGAATAGCTAAGAAAAGGCATTTCCTTTTAGGTTCCTTGCCCATCTTCTTTTACTTATTAATTCATCCAACATCTACTATGTGCCAGGGCAATAAATGAATCAGAGATGGTTCCATGGAGCTTCCCATCTAACAGAGGAAACAGACTCTAGACTAGTTAATACAAAATAGATGTACAAATTAGTCATAAGGATTATGAGATAGGGCAATAAGGGGATCTTTGAAAGATTTAGATCATTGCTAGATATTTAACATTTTTGTACTGCAGAAATAAAAATTAAAATGAAAAATGCATTTCCAAAAGCTGAAAATTAAAGAAATTTTCATTAAAAAAATAAATAAGTAAAGATTTGATGGTCAGGCCCTTTCTATAAAACAATGTTTCAGCTGAGACCTGAACAATAAAAGATTCTAGCATGTAAAGACAGAAAAAGATGCTACAGGCAGACAGAAACAGCTAGAAAAATCTGGCTGGTTCTAGGAAATAAGTCCATTTCAGGCCAATCTTTATTTCTTTAATCTCCTGAACTAATTTTCATAGTTATTCCCAACCACTCATCATAAGAAAACGACAGTGCTATTACTAGGTCACCTTTTCTGCTCTGCTTTTTCTCCGTAGCACTTACCACAGTCTACCATACTAAATAATATTTATTAGATTAAGTCCTTCTCCCCATCCCCAAATGTAAGCTCCTTAAGAACACTCCTGAATGCCTAGATCAATTTTTGGCATATAGTAGCTACTCAAGAAATATATGCTAAATGACTGGATGAATATCTGCACCCACAGGCAGGCTTATGAGGACCTGCCCTCCCACGCACAGAAGACCCTCAGAAACGGAACTTCCTCTCAAGTACATAAGGGCAGAGGTTAATAAATATTTGTTAACTTAATGAGTTAATAAATATTTGTTAACTTAATGAGATGAAGGCATACCATCCTCTAGCATGAACTGTATGTTATAACCTTTTTTTTTTTAAATGGCAGCACACAAGACAAGGTTTCTTACCAGTAACCTATATTAAAATTCCTCAAAGGAAATTTTCAAAGAGGAAACTTTTATTTTGTTCTTTATAATGTTCTCCAACTTCTAACCACTCACCCTCCAACACATCCTAGCAGGTTTTGACTGCACTTCTAGACTGTTCAAAAGTTTGCCTGTTGGATCAAGTATATACTTTCTTCCCCGTTTTTACATGTACAAATTACACCGCTTGTCCTTCATCTGCCAACTGCCATGGCTCACCCTCGTTTTTTCCAGGTCAACTTCATACTGCCTAGCTTGCAGCCTCTTCTCCACTTCTCTCTTCAGCTGAGTATGTCTCTTTCCAACAGACACTCCCAGCCCAACACTTGACTCCTGTCTCTTCTGTTCATAAGGTTTTGAGAACAAAAAAATACCTTCCTTCAGATAACCCATTTCCTTTCAGGGGGACATATTTATTGCCCACTTTTGAAAATTAAGGACAGGCAACTCTTCTTCATCTGCTACACAAAATGTATTCGACATGAAATTATTTTTAATTTGGGAGGAAAAGAATGAATGGATTTAAAGTGGTATCCCAAGTGATACTTAGAATATTTATGGCCTGAATTGAAAGTGCCTACAATTGTATACCACCTAGTATAAGATAATGGAATATTATGGGGCGTGAGTTGTATTAGGAACAAATAGGAATAAACTGAGTATGAAGAGTAAAGAGTATAAGATCTGTAATTCCCAGGTAAAGTTTATTCCTTTGTATTAGGATTGAGAGAAATGACAAAGCTTTCTTGCATGAGTCTTGAAGGCAACACAAGGTCAAAAATTATCCAAAGATCCTGTCCTGTTCAGAACCTTGAGGAGCAATGGCTATGGTGAACATTCATGGTGATAATCCTGCCAGTAACCTGGTCTCACTGTTCTTTAACTCCTAGGAGATGCTTACCTCTGTCCAACCACAGTCATTCATAAACAGCTTATTATGAGGAATGGTTCTGCTCTCTAAGACCTCATCATTTACAAGCTCACACTCTGACCATGGCCTTCCAATCTTTTGCCAACATTACCCTTGAAACTACTTTATATGCCCTCTTGTTTAACTCTTTGCTATTCCTAGAAGCGCTGGCTTGGCTTGGCTTGGCTTGGCTTGCCCCCTCAGCAAGCTTGGTCCCCATGATCAGCCTTTCACTACGACTCTCAAGATCCCACATAGATTCTGAACATCTCCCTCTTCCATTATTCCACCAATCCTGCCTTGCCATTCTCCAGTCTGCTTTTCACACATATTGGTGAAGGCAGGAAGAAAAGTCAGGTAAGCACTCCCAACGGCTCCACTTTCATATTCATCCCATGTAATCTCCAAGATCAGGTACTATAAGACTCAAGCCCCTTCTGATTCTCACATCTGCTTCCCCACAACCACAACTATCATGAACCTTGCATATATCTTTCCAGACCTCTTAAAATACTTTACATACAAGTGTATTTGTATACGATAAAGTATTTCTTTGTGTGAATTTACACAATCATTTATTTCATCTCATTTTGTCAGATAATTGCACCTCCTTTCTTTGGCTTTTGACTCATTGAAGTAGTGAGGATCTCCAGTGTAATCCTAATTGGTAGGATTGACAGCAGGCATTCTTGGGTATTTCACATTAATATGATAAATAGTATAGGCTTTCTTCGGTTAGGGAAGTTTCTTTTTATCCTATTTGCTAAGAGTTCTTTTTAAAAATCATGCGTTATTTAAGAAATAAATTTTTTAAAATTCATAAATTCATGCATAGGTATTGAATTTTATTAAGCCCATTCAATACAGTTTTCATTTCCATGATTGTACATTTACTTATTTAATAATGGGCATTTAAAAATATTTTATATTATAATTCTCTTATACATACAATGTTTTAGACCATGATATTTTAAAACATTTGTTAAAGCATTTAAATTTTAGATTGCCATACTCTGATTGATGTAGTGATGTGTGGGTGATGAGTCTACCACGACTTGTTCTGGTAGAAGCCAACTGCCATGTCATGAGGATATTCAAGCAACCCTCTAAAGAGGCCAAGAGGAGGAACGCCTGAGGAGAAAGTGAAATCTCTTGCCAACAGTCAGTACAAACTTTCCAACTTTATGAGTGAGTGTCATGGGTGGAACTGTGTCCCCTAAAAATTCATATATTGAAGTTCTAACCCCTAGTCTTTCAGAGTGAGACAATATTTGGTGCTAGGGTCTTTAAAGAGCTACTTGAGTTTAGATGAGGCCTTTTGGGTGGGCTCTCTTCTGATAGGTCTGCTTTTCTAATAAGAAGAGGAAATTTGAACACACATGTACAGAGAAGATTGTGTAAAGACACAGAGAGAAGATAGCCATCTGGCAAGCCGAGGAGAGAGGCCTCAGAAGGAATAATCCTGCCAACACCTTGACCTCAGACTTCTTGCTTCTAGAACTGTGAGGAAATAAATCTCTGTTGTTTCAACCACCTAGTTTGTGGTACTTTATTATAGCAGCCCAAGCAAATTAATAGAGTGAGCCACCTTGGAGGTGGATTCTTAAGCTAGTCAACCCTCAGATAACTGCAACCTTGGCTGAACTACCCAGTTAAGCCACTCCTAAATTCCTGACCAACAGCAACCGTATGAATTAACATGTTTTATTTTAAATCACTAAGCTTTGGAGTATTTTGTTATGTAGCAACAGATAAATACAGTGGATTAAAAAGAAATAATTAAACTAATAATAATTCTGCTTATTGATAAGCTCATGTGCCATTCAGAACTCAATTTAATGTTATGTATGCCATCTGATTTTAAGGATTTATTTTAAAGAAATGTTAAGCTCTACTCTGTACTCAACTTCAAATTTTAAAAACAATATGAAGATTACCTTTAGTTTCATTCCAAATGTATCATGCATAAAAAGTGAAGCATTGATATATTTTTGGTTTATCACTGTCGCTGGACAAGCCAGAAAAATAAAATAACAAACACAGGAATCAGCAGAGTTCCTTTTTGGCATTTCCCCCCGCCAAATGACACTCCTCATTATCCAGAATAGCATGGGTCAGAACTAGACCTCTCTCTGTGCTCGTATATATTCTCAAGCTAGCAAAAGAAAGCCAAGATCAGAATTTTCAAAGGCAGACTTTGCAGTGTTGCACACGGTACCTTTTGATGGCCACCAGCTCCCCAGATTCATTACTCTTGCCCATAAGCACACTCCCATAGGTGCCGTCCCCCAATTGTCTCATGGTTGTGTACCGATTCATCTTAGAAAAAGAATGCAGAAGTTGTTGACTGAAGTGATTTCCTTGTTGAATATAAATCTGAATGCTTCTTAATTTTTATTCGTTTTGGTCCTCACACTGTCATTGCTACACTTATGACAGGGTTGTCGTCATTAAATACAGGCTCTTCCTCAGGATTATGTAGGTTCATGAGATACAGCAATAAGGAATCTGGCGAGAAAGCACTGCTTCCATTCTTATGAACACCCTATAAAAAAGAAAACAAGAATAAAATGAATTAGAGTCTTCAAAAATGTTATTGGTAACCTAGAGCACAAAGAAAGATTATAAATAATGTAAATACTAGTGTGTTACACATTTGTCAGTAAATCATTTGTGCTATCTGGAATGAAGTTCACATATAACAGACAGAAAATACTCGTTTGGCAAAGCTTCATTTACGTGGTACTCTGCTAGTTAACCTATGAACATTCAATATTGGCATAATGACTTGCATGATTCCTTTTTTATTGACTATAATCTATATTATTCCAAATCAGGCTTTGGAAATTGACATATATACTACATTTATTTTTTAAATCAAGTTTTGCATTATAGTTAACTTAAAATTGTACTGTTTGTAAATTCCCTGTAGAATACAAGTACCCCAATTAGGTATGTATAAAACAAACTTTTGTTTTATATGAAAGAAATAGTAGCCAGGCTCGGTGGCTCAGCCTGTAATCCCGCGCCTTTGGGGGGCTGAGGTGAGTAGATTGCCTGAGCCCGAGGGTTCGAGACCCGCCTGGGCAAGTTGGTGAGACCTCATCTCTACAATAAATCAAAAATGAGCCGGGCGTGGTTGCGTGTGCCTGTAGTTTCAGCTACTTGGAAGGCTGAGGCGGAAGGATCACCGGAGCACAGCAGGTTGAGGCTGCGGTGGCCGGGAGCGGCCACTGCACTCCAGTCTGGGTGACAGAGTGAGATGAGACTCCAACTCAAAAAAAAAAAAGAAATATTATAAAATTTCATACTCTATATTACTAATATGCTACTTTATTTTACATTAAACTAAGAACAATTTAATTACAGTTAGAAATTAGTGGCACACTACATTCATACAAAGAAAAAAATGCAAAACTGCATTTACATATAGATATCTATTTGGGAATGCGTGTGATTAGATTAAATTAGGTGGAATTCAAGAGACGTAACCACAAAATTTTAGAAAGCTACACCTCACTGAAGGATAAAAAGACCTGGATTAAGAGAATGGAGACAGGTATGGCATGTCCCAGATAGGGGCTGCTCTTCAGGACCAACTTCCAACTCCTCACATTTATAGGCAAAGATTTCTATCTCCTGGACTTCAGCTAACATCATTGTAAAACAAAGGCATTCTAGCTCTAAAGTTCCATGAATCTATGAATATATATTGAATACCAAGCAGACAGACACACACAGAGTTTTGCAATGACTACATCAAAAAAGACACTCACAGATACAGACTCTCTTATAACTAAAAGGGGGGGGGAACACAAACTAAAATAAAAGCTTAGTAAAACTATGATTTTATTACCATTTCTTTTTTATTTTTTATTTGAGTTGGAGTCTCACTCTGTCGCCCAGACTGGAGCGCAGTGGCCGCTCCCGGCCACTGCAGCCTCGACCTGCTGGGTTCCGGCGATCCTTCCGCCTCTGCCTTCCGAGTAGCCGGAATTACAGGCGGGAGCTACCACGCCCGGCTGATTTCTTGATTTATTGTACAGATGAGGTCTCGCCAAGTTGCCCAGGCAGATCTCGAACCCGCGGGCTCTGGCAATCCACTCACCTCAGCCTCCCAAAGCGCGGGATGACAGGCTGAGCCACCGAGCCCGGCTTTTATTACCATTTCTACATCAACACAACTGCTTTTTGTCCCAGCGGCCCACTTGTGAATGGCACTAAGACAGCAAGGGCCAGGTAAATGCGAGACCCATGTCAGCTGGTGGCCATATCTGTCGATGCTCCCCAAGCCCTTTAGCTTGGTAGTGGCAGTGGGGCTACATGTGGCAGTGGATAGGCTACTCTGCCTTCTTCCTTAAGAGGCCACCTCTTCTACACCATTAATGCCACACACTAAAACAGACACCATCAACAGAAATCCCTGTTTACTTTTTTGTAGAACACAGAAGTAAAACCCATGAAACTTGTAGGAAAGGAACCCCATTAAATGAGATGGTATTCTCTTCCAGGTATTCTAAAATTGAATCACATAACATTAAATCTGTAAGGACCTTGAAAATCACTAAGCTCAAAACTTTCGTTTGATGGCAAATTCTTTGCTCTAAATTGTTGATTTTTATTGAAACTAACATATGCATAGGTATACCTTTAAGCAAATAATGGAATAAACATAGGACGGTAGGTATTCTTGTGCCCAATCATTTTCTACCCTTCCTGTACAGAATCATCCAGTCCTGTCCTTGTCATGTGATGTATGGTGCCTGATACATGGGTAAGTTTGCTCATGAGCCACACCCCCACTTGGCCATGTGACTTGCTCTGGCCAGTGAAATGTGAGCAGATGTGACACAGGCTGTATTGCACAGAGGCTTTAGGAGTTACCCTAGGATGCTGCCTTGGCTCTTCTATCCACCAGGAGCATGGCAGGTCCCAGACAGGGGCTTCTTCAGCCTGGGGCCTGGGTAAAGAAAATACATGAAACACTATGGCCAACTATAGTCAGAAGTGATGGGAGTGAGAAATAAGCTTTGTGGTTGCAGCATCACGTATTACTGAAGCAAAGGTGACCGATAATTATATCAAGGGTCATAGGTGCCCTTTTCCCCTTTTAACTGTAACAAGGTCACATAGATCTACTTTGCCTGTGCTCTATAAGTGGAACAACAAAGCCTAGATGTTCGTACATCTGTTTACAACATGGTCTACCCAATAGTTTAAGCCCACAGTTGAAATCTATGCTCAGGAAAAAAAAAAGATTCAAAATATTACTGCTTATTGACAACGCTCCTGGTCACCAAGAGCTGGGATGGAGATAAAGAAGATTAATGTTTTTTTCATGTCTGTTAACAACCATTCTGCAGCCCATGGATCAAGGAGTAATAATGCTGACTTTCTTAAGATTACTTAAGAAATATATTTTGTAAGTCTGCAGCTGTCATAGATAGTGATTTGTCTGATGGATTTGGGCAAAGAAAGCTGAAAAACTTCAAGAAAGGATTCACCATTCTAGATGCCATTAAGAATATTTATGATTCATGGAAGGAGGTCAAAATATCAACATTAACAAGAGTTTGGAAGAAATTGATTTCAAATGTCATAAGTGATTTTGAGAGGTTTGAAAGTAGAGGAAGTAACTGCAGATTTGGTGAAAATAGCAAGAGAACTAGAATGAGAAATGGACCCTGAAGATGTAACTGACTTTCATGATCAAACTTGCATGGATGAGGAGGAGCTGCAACTTAAGGACGAACCAAGAAAGTGATTTCTTCAAATGGAATTTACTGAAGATGCTGTGAATGTTGTTGAAATGACACAAAGGATTTTGAATAATACATACATAAATTCAGTTGATAAAGCAGCAATAGAGTCTGAGAGGAATGACTCCAAACTTTTTCTTTCTTTCTTTTTAAAGCACGCTTTTTAAATCATAAACTCCAGTTTTGAAAGAAGATCTACTGTGGGTAAAATGCTATCAAACATTATCACGTGCCACAGAGAAACCTTTCATGAAAGGAAGAGTCAATCGATGCGGTAAATTTTATTGTTGTCTTATTTTAAGAAATTGCCACAGCCACCTCAACCTTCAACAACCACCACCCTGATCAGTCACCAACCATCAACATCAGGGCAAGATCTTTCCCCAGCAAAAAAATTACAACTCATTGAAGGCTCAGATGATCATTAGCATTTTTTAAAGGAATAAAGTATTTCTAAATTAATGTATGTACATTTTATAGACATATGCTATTATTGTACACTTAATAGACTTTAGTATAATGTAAACATAATTTTTATATGCACTGGAAAACCAAATAAAATGTGTGTGACTCACTTTATTGTATTATTTGCCTTGCTGTGTCAGTCTGAAATGGTACTCACTTAGTACTACCACTTTTACAAAAGGAAATAATAAAAATTGCTTCTCTATCATGCAGGAATTTTAAATCAACAAGGACATTTTGTAATTGACAAAGTAGTTAAGACTTCTTTAAACAGGCTTTCTGGGAAAAGAAACTTAAACATGCACAGAAAAGGACAGTAAAACTATGTTATTTCCTATTTAAAGAAAAGTATTTGTTCACAGGAAATTTCAGAAGAATCCTGGCGGGGAGGGCTTTTAAATAACAAGGTGTGTTTATTAATTTAACATTTATCTTACTTTATATAGATAATGATCCCTTCAAAGTCACATATAAAATAATTTAGGCTATGCTAACTCTATTGCCAAGATCTTTAAAAAAAAGAGACCATTGCGGTAGAGTTTACTTTTATTTAGGGGTTTCTTCTTCTTCTTCTTCTTTTTTTTTTTTTGAGTTGCCCAGGCTGAAGTGCAGTAGCATGCTCACAGCCACCCCAGCCTTGACCTGCTGGGCTCCAGCGATCCTTCCGCCTCAGCCTTCCAAGTAGCCAGAACTACAGGTCCACGCTACCACGCCTGGCTAATTTTTGTTTACCACACCTGGCTAGTTTTTTATTTATTGTGGAGACAAGGTCTCACCAAGTTGCCCGGGCTACTCTCGAACCTGCAGGCTCAGGCAAAGATTACACTGAGCCACCGAGTTCAGTGGTTTCTTCATTTTTATCAAATTAATCCTGAGCTAATGGTCTTAACAAATGCCAGTAAATGATTCCCCATTTGTCTGAAAAAAAGAAAGTTTTTATAAGTGGCCTTTACATTATGCATAGACACTGATTCCAAATATTAAGGCCTTAATATAGAGAAAGACAGTATCTCTGTACATGGTTCCTAACCAAAACATGTATTTGCTTTTCTTAATTTTTTCTTTATCTGTATAAGCAAATGAAATTTGGAAAGATCTTTTGGGTAGCTTGTTTTGTTTCGTACTACTTGCTATGATTAAACAAAACATGCGCTAAAATATATTCTCGTCATTTAGGATTCTATTAAATCAGTATTTTGCAATTTCTCACCAGCATATAAAATTCCTGTACCATTTAAGCTACCATATTGAAGGTGTCATACACCTATCTCTCTCTCTCTCTTTTTTTTTTTGAGTCAGAGTCTCACTCTGTCGCCCAGGCTGGAATGTAGTGGCACGCTCATGGCCACCGCAGCCTTGACCTGCTGGACTCAGGCAATCGTTCTGCTTCAGCCTTCCAGGCGCCTGCCACCACACCCAGCTAATTTTTTGACTACTGTAAAGACGAGGTCTCGCCAAGTTGCCCAGCTGGTCTCGAACCCGTGGTCTCAGGCAATCCTCTTGCTTCTGCCTTCCAAAGTGCTGGGATTATAGGTGTGAGCTCCCACGCCTGGCTACACCTATCTCTTTTAAGGAAGCGTGCTTTTTCTACTGATTCTTTTTGGTTAATAACAGTGTAGAGACTATCCATGGGGAGACCCCAAAACACTAGAATTTATTTATAAAAAATTGTGTATTTATTCTTACATGTTTAAACTTCAGTCACTCAAAGTACCTCCATTTGATGCAATATACCTATTGAGATGCTTTTTCCACTGCTCAAAACGGTTTTTTAGCTCATCAATTTTAATGCCTTTTAGTGCTTCTGCTGTTTTTTGTTTCACCTCTCGCACATCAGCAAAACCTTTCCCTTTGAGAACTTCTTTCATTGGGGGAAACAAACCAAAAAAAAAAATCACTCAGGGTAAGATGGGGTGAATAGGGAGGGTAGGGCATGGAAGCCATGACATTTTTGGTCAAAAACTGCTGAACATTCAGCACACTGTGGACAGGTGCGCTTGTAAATCACACATTATGAAATGGCAAATGTGTTGAATCTCCAAAAAAAATTTACTGAAGCCAACACAGTCTTTCACATCAACGCTAGCTGGTACACTGATGCCAATGAGTTCCTAGAGCACGCACCTAATGGGGGAAAGCCTGTACTACAAGGGGCCCATCTTCATAAATAATCCTGGTTTTTTGGGGGGGGTCCCCTCATATTTGTGCAGAGGCCATCATGTTCTTCATGACAGTAACATTATAAAATAAAAACATGAAAGGATTAAATGACCTGTCTATGATTAATTAGAATCAATGATGGCATTGAAGCTGCTCCTTTCTTTTTTTTGAGTTGGAGTCTCACTCTGTTGCCCAGGCTGGAGGGCAGTGGCATGCTCATGGACACTGCAGCCTCGACCTGCTTGTCTGAGGCGATCTTTCCACCTCAGCCTTCCAAGTGGTTGGAACTACAGGCATGTGCCACCATGCCTGGCTAATTTTTCTTGATTTATTGTAGAGATAAGGTCTCACCAAGTTGCCCAAGCTGATCTTGATCCCGTGGGCTCAGGCAATCCTCTCACCTTGGACTCCCAAGTACTAGGATTACAGGTGTAAGCCACCACACCAGGCTCCTTTTCGAGTGTAGTCTCCAACCTTTAAGTCACCCATTCTTATGAACTGGTGCCAGCTTTTACAATCACTGATGCAGCTAAAGGAAGTATTCTCTTTGCTCCAAAACCATGCAGACTAGGTCCTATAACTCAAGTTGCCCGCCCCCCACCATTTCTACCTTAAGATCCCCAATGCAACTCCTCACTCTAAAATACCAGATACTGCTAAGTCTGGAGTGCAAGTGATACTACTTTCTACCCTAACTAAACCCTAGGGCTATATCAGAATCATTCAGATACTTGCAAAGTATAGAAAAAAGTAATAGAAAGAATGAAGGGAAAGAAAGTACCAGACATTAGAACTTGGAAGGTTAAGGGAGAAGGTGTCTACTTAGAGCTCTCTCATGAAAATCATTTTAGAAATGTAATGGTATAATGGCATTATCTTCTTTTGACCAAATTATTTTCATATTAACACCTAAGCAAAGACAAATATTTGAAGGTCTAAGATGCAGAAGTATTGTGCAATTCTGAAAAAGGAAATACTGCTTGAGAAGGGAATGGAAAAGGAGTGTTATTCAAGAGGTGGAAACTAAAGTTAAGAGGTAAGAAGGTACCAGAAACAATGGCCCAATAGCCTGAAAAAGTGGAATTGATTAGTTCTCTCTCTTCCACCATTAAGGCCATTAGCCACCACTATCACCACTGCCCTGGGGTGGGAGGATGACCAAGAATCTACACCAACACTATTAGCACAAGAGAGCATCCAGTCATGGATGACTTTCTGCATTGGCCTGCAAGTCCAGCCCCTTCTGGAGTGGCTATTGTGGAAACCCCTCATTCCAAACTTAATCAACCAACTTTCTAATAAATACCAGAATCACAAGTTTGTTTTAGTCGAGAAAGGATATAGGATAGACTATACTTATACTGAGGGAAGAATAAACAAGAAACATGACCATTTCCCAGTTTCTTTCTGTTTGAGAGGTAGACACAACATCGATTTTTAAAAGGTCAGATTTGTGCCCCTGTGAGAATCTGTCCAGTTTAGTCCTACCTAACCTTTAAGTAAAACAAGTTTTACTTAAACTTTTACTTACTAGTTAAACTTTTGTTCCCTAAAAAAACTTTGGAAAAGCCTCCTTTAGCCATAGTAATGACAAAATAAACACTCCAGGGTGAGAAGCTGATCCTTTTAGCTGTCCTGTCTAGTCCCCTGAAAATACAGGTACAATAGTCTAATGTAAAGAGGAATAAATATAAAGTCATAGCTTTTTAAAAATCATGATTCCCATGTGCCTACTCATTGATAGCACATAGACAACAAATTTTATCAGTTTAGTATAGAAACTATGATTACTAGTCAAAAAGTAGTGTATACAACTTTAAAAAATACAGACTTCCTATGGTTCTCCAGTTCACACACAATATTTCTCCAAAAGTTACATATATTCTTCTCTGTTGACCTCTGGAAAACTAATTCTGCAAAATAAGGATGCATTAACATAGCTTCTTATGTACATGAAAAATGTGCATGCTATATATGCAAGAAAAGACTCAAGTAAATGTAATATAACTATCATCCCCAATTAATTTAGTTGTTAGGAAATTGGAATTTTCTACAATCAAGCTATAATATTTATTGACTTTCCTATGAGTTAAATAAACCTTATATTCCAATTTAAAGAAAGACACTTATTTAGAGGCTGAATTATAAATTTACACAAAATAAATGCCCTTATAATTTATCTCCCATTCTAGTTTTATATATTTTTAATCTAATTGCTTAATGACCATTTATCTAAGTACACAATTGTTGTAAACTTGGGCTCTACTCTCAACAGCTTCTGCCAGTTAATAAGGGATTTAAGGATTAAAGAAGATTAACATAGAGGGCAAATGGAGGGTAAAACTTGTGCCTGCCAATCACTGAACAGATAAGGCTTGGGTGTCTTCCACTTGGTTTTCTAGAACATACTATAAGGGTGTCATTCCAAGGTTGGCATTGACGTTTGTAATACAAAACAAAACAGTAATTAACGTTTCAAAAGTCTCTAAGTTGTTTAAAAAGTAACACAGGAAAAAAAGATTTCAAACTAATCAAGTCATGTTTACAGAAATTAAAAGAGGAATTATTACAATGAAAAACAAAGATTCTTTCTTAAACAGTTAAAGCAGAGTTCTCTGTGCTGGTACTCACAAATTATTTAAACACAAACAAACAAACAAAAACCCCACTCGAAGAAGAAATCAAACATCCTGCCAAAAGCCATGTGTGCAAGCAGCAGGTGGCCCTCAGGGGAAGTTTCTCCTTCCCTGTCAAGCCGCTGGGGAACTGGAGGATCGAGAGGTCAAGGCCGATCAAAAGGCTGGAAAGTAAATTTCGTTTCTACACTATTTTGACCCAATGGGTTGTTTTTCTGATTAAAGTAAATCTGATAAATTTTGGTTCCTTCTGAGAATTATAACTAATGTCTGTTACTTTTAAAGATCAAACACAATTACAAAAATCTCTTTCCTTGTAGAATTCCGATTACTAGCCACTAGAAGCCAGTTTTATGCTCCGCGAGTCTTAATGTCCCTAAATCAAAATGTCTTATGTGCAGAAAAGGAACAGGCACTCTAATCCCATTCCGGAAACCAGGGCTTACACACCTCCCGGGGCCGGTCACACCCCGCCTTGCCAGGGAGGGGCGGTCCTCGGGGCCCCACGCGTCCGGCCGCCGCGGGTGGGCGACCCCCTGGCTCCCGCGGCTCCCGGGCCCGCCCGCGGCCGGCTTGGGGCCCCCCGGTGCCAGGATGCCACTTCTTTCACCCGTGCGTCATTTGGGATGCGCCAACCAAGGCTGGATTCGGACCCAAGCAACTTTCCTCCCCCTCCTTTTAAATGTTTTAACGGGCCTGAACTCCGTTCCTCTGTCTCCCGTAGACCCGATCCTGCCGCTGGGTCCTCGGGGAGTTTCCCTCTCAGCCCGGGCCGCAAGCGGGGCCGGAGTGTGGGGGGCGGGAGACCCCAGCGGGGAGGGTCG